TTAAGGGTACAAATTCTAACAAACAAACATGCATCCATCTAAACTTTCGCATTAATAAAATTAGTATGTATATTATTAATGCAAAAAAATATATAAAATTAGAATTATAGTCAGAATTTTGTCTACATCACAGACAAAATTCTAACAATCAACTTTTTCTTTTATTTTCTTTATACTAATGAAATATATTTTATACTAGCTTTCGCCCGAGACTCCGTCCGCGTGGTATTAAAAAAAGTAGCCTATGTGTTCTTCCAGAGTATCCTTTACATCTATACGAAATTTCATCGATATCCGTTCAGCAGTTTAGGCTACAAACTCTAACAAACATCCATCCATCCATCTAAACTTTCACATTTATAATATTAGTATATAGCCAAAACGACTACACCTTTTTTGACAGGTAAGGTGGTATTAAATTCTTATTCTTCCCATGATTATCATAAAGGAAGATTTTGATGTGATTTTTTTGTTTTTTTACTAATATAAAGGGTTTTTGTTACCTCTACGATGCGCTCCCCGGGGCGGTCTGCATGCCACTGGGCGATCTGCTCGCGTTCCATGTATTGCAGCCGACGCTCGTGGAAGCAGATCTTTATCACGCTCTGTACAAAATTCATTATTAACCGTGGGTTTACACTGCTGAAAGATGTCTTAAACGTATTTTTGATGAATTGAGGCAATGAAATCGAATAGTTACGGAGAAAACGTAAAACCGGACTAAATGCATGCAATGCTTGTTTCGTTTTTATTTTTAAAATAAATTAATCGAATTTTAAAGAAATTCTGTCATTTTAAAGGGGATAAGAACAAAATTTCTTTTTAGAAAGATTATTTTTGAATTTAAAAGTGTTTAAACTAGTGTAATTATATTTACTTTTAATATTTTTCCTTTGTAATGTGAGAGGTCTCCTAGTTTCTTCAGTTTGATCTCATAGGGCTGTCCCTGGTTGAGATATGTGAGTGTCTCCTCGTTTTGTTTAGTGGCGATAGAGGTCGCTGCAGCCAACACGTACTGGAACCTGACACATATATTATTATAGTGTGAAAAATATAATTGGTTATTTCGTATTTATATTATACAAGCTTTCCGTCAGGCTTCATCCATATGAAATTATACAAAATAAATTTTATTGTTTACATTGCAAATGTCAAAATTTAAAAATATCATATTATCGAAGGCCTTTGACATTGAATAACAATTACTACGGTAATTGTTATACCACAGCTTGTAATTTATGTCCATTTCCCGCATTACGGTTTTTTGCCAATTATTTACTCCCTAAGTTTAATAGCGTGAAAATATATAGCTTAAAGCATGTCGTAAATGTAGGGCTTTTTATTAAAGAAAGAGTTATTCAAAAAGACGCTGTGTTTCAGACATCCTATATAACTAAGTAGTGTGTGTTTTTATTAGGCAGAGTTTGTCTGATTGTAATGAACAAGGCATTTTTTCTGTTAATAGAGCAAGTGTCCGCGACAGTACATGACAGTACCTTGTATCATCCTTGAAGCTGGGTTCCGAGCGCTGTACTGGCGAGTGCAGGAAACCATCCAGCGAGCTGACTGGCGAGCACATCAGCAGACCTGGATCTGAAACAAGGAGACACACTATGATCGAATTCAATATCATCTTCCTTCTTTTTGTCTTGTTTATTGTTATTGAAACTTACTCTTATTTTCGTGCATGGGAGGCGAGTGGTATCCAGTGATGGGCACCAGCGCGCCAGTCTGCATCGCCTGGCACTGCATCTCCGGACTACACGCTGTTGAAAAATTAAATTAACCCTTAATTCTATAGTTTCCAGTGTGATGAATAATTAATTTAAAAAAATCAACTGAACTAGTTCAGAAAAAAATACGTGAGATTTTCATTTTAGTACGTTAGTAACATGTAATATAAATAGAATCAGTAAGTACTTTTATATATATTGAAAGTAGAGTTTAATTTAGATGAAAATAATCTGTGTGTTTGAAATAGAAATAGAAATAATTTTACTGAAAAATAAGAGATTACCAATAACAATTACAGTTATACCAATTAAAAGATAAATACAAGTTGTGGTTAATATACGATTAATCTGGTGATGCCCACACTAGGCAATGCCTGTATCGTGGGCATCGAAAACAGCAGGAAAAATCTTTTGATTCTTTTTAACATTATTGTAATATTTTAAGTGTACATTCAGCGCTTAAGTTGGCACGTTGACACCTAGAGTACTGTAGTTGCATACGTGCCAACTTCAAGATAGTATAGTGCACTCACATTGGTCCGGCAAGATGGCGTTGTGCGGCGGCGACTGCTGGCAGGAGCCCTCCTCCATGCCGTCGCGGTTCACGCTGTCCACCACCATGCTGGTTATCTAAAATATTACAAACAATAATTAGATACAATTTTTTTATTGTCGTCGCATCATTACTTTTTTAAAAATGGGCTAGAATTAGTTCTTCGTTATCTATCAGATAAGCACAAAATACTTCTAATTCAAGTCTGTCTTTTGTTAGTGGTATCAGGGATCGAGTAAGCCTATACGTCGGAAAGATGTTGTTCAATTACTACCATCGATAAACACATAGACTGGGTTTCCATAACTCATATAACAACATAGCTAAGCATCTTTTTATAGAGTACTAGTTATTGCTCGCGACTTCATCCACGTGAAATGTAAAAATATTGCCTATGCTACTCAACGATAACGTAGCTTTATAATGGTGATAGGATTGACATCCGCCCAGTAGATATTGAGTTATTCCAATATACAAATCTTTCTTCTTCCTAAATATTATAATATTAGATGTACATTGGAAACGAAAGGTACGGACCTGTCTGTCGTCAATGCGTCGTGTGCAGGGCCAGGCGCGGCGCGGCGGGGACAGCACGGCGCCAGTCGGAGAAGGCGCCTCTTGTTTGAACACCGACAGCGACGGCAGCGACAGTAACGCTTCGCTACACACAATACTCTTAATTAAAAACATAACTATAGAAGTTGTAATTGGCTTAGAAATTAATAACAACGGTCACTTTTATTAGGCACTAGCTATCGCCCGCGATCACGTCTGTATGGTAATAAAAGAGAAAAAAGTAAGTAGTCGGTGTGTTCTTCCAGACTACCCTCTACATCTATACCAAATTTCATCGAAATGCGTTCAGCCGTTTAGGCAATAATCTCTAACAAACATCCATCCAACCATCTGATCTTTCGCATTTATAATATTAAGTTGATTGCTTTCGCCCTCTACACTTTAAGCGAGAAAAGTAAGTAGCCCATGTGTTCTTCCAGACCACGCTCTACATCTATACTAAATATCATTGAGATCCTTTCAGCCATTTTGACTACAAACTCTTAACAAACATCCATCTAAACTTTCGCATTTATAATTAGTACGATAGTAAGGGCCTGTCCCACCACTGGCTGATAGGGGCTCAGATAGCTTAAAAATGACGTCACTGTCAGATAAGGGAACAAAATCCGGTATTTCCATCACATATTTTAGATATTGGATTATTATCAGACAATTTACAATTTGGTGGGACAGACCGCAAGACTAATTGAACCAGTAACACCTAATCTTTTAAGATTTTTTTGGTAAGGAACTAACTTCATAGACAACTCTCCAGGTAGGTCTAGGTCTAGATCGTTGACCTGCCAACCAGGGGACAGATGCGAGGAGGACGAGCTCGTACCGCTTCCGCCCATCTCTCCCAGCGACGCTGAAAGAAACGAAATACATAATTAATAAAGACAATAATGAGGTGCACGTGTATTTAGGACGGTACGTAATCTAGTCTAGATTTGGTCATAGACTAAGAAGCTATAGACAAGAATGGACAATTTAATTGATGTTAACGTACGTAAGGCGTGTTTGCGTGTGTTACTGTAGTAAACGTAGTTTATAAAAATAGCACTATGCTATTCACATAGAGGGCTCAAGTTATAGTATTTCTGGTTAAAAATTTGGATGGAAAATCCACAATGTTTTCAACCAACATCATTGTCTCTGTCAATAATTAGTATCCACGTAGAAATCAGTCTAAATTCAATTAGCAAAACAATTGTTATCAGTGCGTGACGTCACATCACACATACACGAGGCGGGTTTATCAGGCGGGTCGCTGACAATTACGAGCAAGATAGCTCTGAACCTAGTCTATAAACTGGTTACTGTTATCAGCGCTGTCCGGTTTTCTAGTGAAATGGTTTGTCTTGACAGACTCTCTAATTGCTTTGTATTTCATATCTCCTAACATCTGTATTCATACTTATCAGACACCATTAAAGGGGGACCTGTTTTTGCTTCATTCCGAGATTTTTAATGGTCACTAAATGAATTGCTTATTCAAATAAAAAGTCGTTTTTATCTTGGAAAATGTACAATCAGATAAATTGCAGGCGTATTGCAGAGAAAAGTTAATAGATAAGGAAATTAAGTGACATAGAAGAGGTAAAGAAATTCATTATGACTAGTAGTGAAAAGATAGGCAGTAAAATATCAAAGACTATTTGCTTCAAGTACTGGAACGTATTGTACATAATGATTTGTTAATAAAAAAGCAATAAATCAATATATTCGTTATTTTTATAGCATCAAGAAGACGTTCCTTATTGGACTTCAAACGGTGATGAAATGTGAACAATAATAGCCCGTGTCTGCGATATCATTGTTCTTTGACCTCTGTTGTGCCAGTCGACTGAACTGGTAACCACTGGAAGATTGTTTGCAATATTTTAATGATTTTCGATGAATTACTTGTATTCTTGATAAGGTAACTTAGTAACAATTTATAATAAAGGCTAATTATCAAGTTTTATAGCGATTTTATTTGTTTCAATAATCTTGTTTTTTGAGTGGTGAACACTTTTGAATGGCCTAAACCATTTAAAAGAGTATCATGCATAAGTGTATTATCTTAGTACCGAATTAAGTTTGAATAAGAGGCAACGAACAAATCAAAAATTAGGCTATAAACTTTCATTCAATTCAAAGTATTTCGTCTAGATTATAACGTTCTCGTTTGTATGATGAATTATATGAGTAAATACCATAAGCATTGTAGGTGATGCTTGCGAACGCATGTGCTCCAAACTCCGAGAAACGGCGACCCTCTCGTGCTTCTCTTGCCGCGAACTGCAGTACTGCGGCTGCGGATACCCTATCCGCTTGTGATGCTACGGAATCTTCAACCATTATCACCACTCTCTTAGATTTGCAACTTCAAGAAAGTGGCTATATGCTGGCAGTTTTAATTCTATCCGTATCAAGATAGATGGCGTTGTATTTTTTAAGCTTTATTTAGTTTTTTGTGTGGTTTTTTCATATCTTCAATTACTATTTGCACTTTTGTTTTAATGTTTGATTCACTGTCATAAAACACTACTTTGTTTTAACATCCATAAGACAACTCCTTTCAATAACGTCCAGTACGTGTTAGACTTTATGTCTCCAATTCTCAATGTCATCTTACACGAGCGCCTCATACACTGTCATTCACAACTTACAAGAAAAATAAGTTTGCAGTCTGTCTAAATTTCGTAATAAGATAAAATTTAACTTCATACTAGCTTACTTTCGTAAGTAAAAAAAGATTACTTTCGGAGATTGGAATAAGGGAAGTTGTATCAAAGTGCTGATTTACAGGAACTAATCTACATAATGACCGAGTTATATCTAGGCTACAGCCCGTGAGATTTTTAATGCCATAAGTTAGCGAACGAGCAAGCGGCCACCTGAATCCACCAAAATGGTGAAGCGACCGCTACCCATGGACATCCGAAATTGCAGATGCGTTGCTTACCATTAATCAACGGAGAAGACGCACATAAAAAAGATATTTCCCCTTCCTAAGAGACTCCTCCAACGTAAAATCCACTATCGTCATCGCATCTTTCCCTTATAAGAAAAGGGTGGAAAGGGAAAGGGACTAAAGTTGGGCCTCCGTCAATATCAAATGCATTTTACAAACTATACCTATGTCTTACAGTGACTTTTTGCATCATTGTCAGCTAAATACTGAAACGAATCTTATACAGTTCGCTTCGTAAGCACCGCTTACAATTACATGTCAAAAAATGTAAGGTATTTGGAGTTAATCGCGGGCTCATTATTTAGATCGTTGTTACATATTTAAATGTCGTGTCAGTATTCGGCCGTTTATTTAATAGTCAATACCTAACTACAATGACTTTAATATCATGAGGTGGAAAACGAACAAGAGTCCTGACTTCGCCTTAATAGCGAAGGATAGTTTTAAATATATCGTTAAGATGGTAATTTATTTTTGTAGGTTGTAAAAAAGTAGGCGTTTTTAGACTTCAACAAAAACCGACGCGTATTGTTGGCAATTGTTGCATAACTTGGTATACGTCAGAGGTGATAATTTTTTATGACATTGATCTAAGATGAAGGATGTTGTGACGTATTTTCTAAATAATAAAAATAGAATAATATGTTGTAGATTAAGCAAGCGTAGATCATATTTTGATAAAAAAAATCACCTCAAGTATGCTTTCAATAAGCAAATAACTTATAGACAAACTAGCTTTTGCCCATGACTGCGCGTAGTATTAAACTCTAACAAACATCTATCCATCTAAACTTTCACATTGATAATATTAGAAGCAGAGAATCGCTAAATTTCAGAATTGTTCAATCGTCATCAGCTAATAAATGTCTCCAATTAGGGGCTCCAAACCAAGTTAAGTGCAAAATTATTATTCGTTTCGTGATAATTATAAAAAACAGAATTGTACCGAATTAGGTATTAATATGTCGTTGCATGTGTATCCCATCTGTTGCTTAATCTTTGACATCGAAGTGTTAATTACATAGTAGCGTATCGCGTATTTTGGTACAAGATTACAAATGTACAGGTAAAAATGAAGGTGTGTCCGGAGACGGATATAATCAGTTTTCTGAAAGGATCGATGGCAATGATTATTGATTAGTCGCACTCAGATCGGCCAAGCGGGAGACATGAATTTTACAGATTAATTTCATAATGGTCATGGAAAGATTTGGTTCGGCACTCCTAATGGGCAGCAGAGGTTAAACTTTGACAGCAAAGAGATGTATTATGAATAGTAATAGAATACAAGTAGAAGTGAATCAAATTAGATACAGGAGAACCTCGATAAGTTAAAGTCGAAGGGAAAAACAAAATATTTTAAGTTATAGAGAGATATGTTATAGAGGTTTTGGGCTTTGATAGGAAGGGAACATATTATTTTTTGAAGTTATAGAGGTTTTTTAGTTACCGAGGTTTGAGTTATCGAGGTTCTACTGTATTCGTTAGGTGTGAAAAAACGCAAACAAGCTATTCTAATGTCGTGAAACTGTTTTTATTATGATCACGTGCTAAATGTTTTACAATGTAACGTGTTACGATTGCTTACGTACGTGTGCAAATGTTTGTCAAATTGTATTCATGGTTTACGAGTAACTATGACTGGAGTATATTTTTTTAATGAATTAATCATACTTCATAGATAGATGGATGTTTGTTAGTTTGTAGCCTAAACGGCTGAACGGATTAGGATGAAATTTGGTACAGATGTAGAGGATAGTCTGGAAGAACACATAGGCAACTAACTTTTGTTTTTTTTAATTCCACGCGGTTGGAGTCATGAAGGCTAGTATAGTATAACTCACGCTCAAAAAGATATAAGTGATATTTTTGCAAAGAAATCTTACACTAAATTTAGTCAATACCATAAGTTTGTTACGTATATTTATATATTAAAATTTCCTCAACCAGCGCTTTGCCATACGGGTATAGTATTTTATTACCCGTATGAATATAACACATTACTATAGACACGCTATTTACAACGTAAATTTCATACATTGTAGAAATGAAATAGAATTCTGGAATACTTAAAGATTTTTTTTAGTTAAAAATGTACAGTTACAAGCAGTTTTTTTTTTCGTTTTATCATCATCTTTCTGCTTATCCTACTTCCGTAGGGCCGCACAACAGGTTTTTGTCCTCCACATAACACTATCATACGTCATCTCAGTCATCACTTCCTTTTTCATCATGTCACCTTTTACGCAATCCATCCATCTCTTTCTAGGTCTACCTCTACCGGTGTACCACACTCATAACTAACGTTCTCCTTGTAACATGCGATTCATCCCTCCTCATAACATGCCCATACCATGCTAACCTTTACTCCTAACCTTCTCCACTGGGGCTATTCGAACTTCAATACAAACATACTTCAATTCAAATAACACAATAAATTTATTAATGAAAATTATGTAATACATCTGTAGCAGAAGTTAATTGCTTGATACGGTTTTATCTTTGGTACATGTCAAATTATTGCGTAAAAAATCAACGTATATCGATAAGAAACGCCTTGGGTGTTAGTTTGTAGACTTGTAAAACGCTAATTACGCTTAGTTACTGTCAACTGTTCAGTTAAAGTTTTACCTGATCAGTTCGACTGTTTAAAATTGTCACAACATAACATATGTAGAGGGATTTACAGTAGTCTTCCACTGTCAAAACTTTTGTAAGACATATATTTTTTATTCTCCTTGAAAAATAAGACAATAAGAAAATTGTTACAGCAGAATTACACGTTTGAATATCTCCTCTCCAGCGTATACGTGCTTTTGAATAGACCAGATATTTATAACATAGTAATTATGAAGATATAAAGTCACGTAATTCTGTTTTTGAATTCGTGACGTTTTATTTCTTTAACATTTGCCGTTTCATTCTATTTTTTTAAATCGTTCGATGTTTCAGAGATTTGATATCACGATTTAGGTAATCGATCATTTGAAATAATTTTAATCTAGATTATAATTTTACAACAATGAACTATAATAAGTTTATTTTTTAAATAATAATCTAGATGATGTAGTGATATTTTAGATAACAAACATTCTTTAATATTGTTTAATCGAAAGAAACCAACTTGATATTAATCTTACTTGATATTATAAATGTGAAAGTTTAGTTGGATGAATGTTTGTTAGAGTTTGTAGCCTAAACGGCTGAACGGATTTCGATGAAATTTGGTATTAATGTAGAAGACATTCTGGAAGAACACATAAGCTACTCAGTTTGTTTTTTTTAATCTCACGCGAACGGAGTCGCGGACGAAAGCTATTGAACTTACTTATTGAACATATTAATGTGAAGACTTGTATTCAATATCTTCAAGTTTCTATCAAACAACTCAAATAAAAAAGCTATATGCAAAAATGCATGTTATGTAGCTTTACTAAGATCAATTTATTTTAACTAAATTTTCACGAGGTTAATGTAGTATTCATATCTATAAGAATAACCATACTCAGAACTTTTTCAGTTAAAAGACATTGCTTTGAAATACTATAAATTCTGTTTCAATACATGGTGATAAAAACACCGGTTGGACAACAACTTTTGACAACTTTTGCCTATTACTCGCTTATAAAAAAAATGTTTACGCTAATTTGCATATATTAACTAAAAATAGATCACAATTTGCATAACCATGTTTACTATGCGATTCTCTGATTTACATGATATAACTTCACTTTTAGTTCTCCATAATTTTGCTATTAAGTGTATTATTAAGTCATAACATAGGTAAAGAGAAGTATTTTACATGTATAACAGACTGCAAACTGATTCCTTCATTTAGCACTAAGAAACATTGAATAAACTGATCTATTACAAGCCAAGACACATTTAATATCACAAACAAACAATATCAATGCACATAAGGTCACGAGTGTGCTGATAAATAATCTTTTTTTTTAAATGTGCGTGCGTTCCTCAGCCGCATCGCGCCGGTTACTGGCCATGCACCAAAGTTTATAATTTGTCTTCCCATTATCAGTTCTTTACATAGACTAACATAATATTTTCACGTTTACCAAAGCGTTGGTAGTCTCTCAGAGTACATTATCATCGTTTGGGTTGTAAACGTTTTTAGATATATTCTATACTAGCTATTCCTGTGCGATTTCATCCGCATTAAATTATGAAAATCTTATTTTATTGTTTACATGTGTCAAATTATCAATTGCAAATGTCAAAATGACATAACATGATGACAAACCATGGCAACCATACTTCTTTCATGTTGGCAGTTTGTAAATTATGGACCCTTTCCCACATAAAGGTTTATTTTCCAATTTATTTATCCCCCGAGTTTAATAGCGTAAAAATATATAGCCTAAAGCATGTCATAAGTGCAGGGCTTTTTATTAAAGAAAGAATTATTCAAAAATATGATGTGATTGTTGACATCCTGCGCCACAAAGTAATGTGTTTACGCTTTATTACATTGGTATAGATTACTGACATCACAAATCTTTAAATTGACCTCGCACAATGCGACGAACTATGATTGCAGATTCCAGGTTTAATTTTATACAAAAGTGGTCAATTAGGCATAATGTGACGCGTCATACGTTACCTTTGGTACTTAATCTTTGTCGCGCTCGTCTTTCGTTATTGGTCGAGTAATAACAACATAGCATTGAGTGTGAACACTTAATTGTTACAATTGTAACATTCGAATAGATGGTTTTATACGAAATAGGTCAAACTGTCTACGAGTGATTAAAAAATAGCCTAAAAAGTTATGTGATAAGAGAGAAGAGTTCATAAGAAGTTAACAATAAACTATTCTATAGCAACTTATTTGTAACGTCTAATTAAAATAGTAATTCATAATAATGCTACACGAGTTTCGAACTGTCGATTATAACAGCTTTAAATATTGGTTAGCTGAAATTGTCGAGAAAATTACTCCCGAAAATCTCTAGACATCTAAGCTTATTCTTTGACCAGATGTACATTATTCCATACTCTTAAAAGTTTATATACACAGTAAGGTACGTACCCATAATTTTCTTCGGCGGCACCTTCCTGGGCTCCTTCTCGTCGGCGTCCTCGCGCCGCATGGTCTTATCGTCCCCCTGGTGCCACTTCCTCTTACGACCTTCTCTTTCCTCCAGGTACATCCCGAACTCCTCCTCTCTACCCACCAGAGTGAGCCTCACTGACGACTCCCACGTGAACGGGTCCTCCTTACGACCCTCATGCATAATAAGCCCTGTATAGTCTCTGTCTGCGTCATACGATTCCATTACACCCGGGCCATAGCGCCCGCACTACACTAAAAGTCACTGAATGAACGATGAATGATAGATGAATGATTTTGTTTGACCGTAACGCGGCGAATAGGTTAAAACAGCACGAAGAACGAGTTGTACAACTTCTTGATACCCGTCGTCTCTCTTTGGCGGTGACTTTGGAGGAGTTCGTTCTCTATTTTCAATAGCATGTTTGTATTGGAGCGACAGAGATGGTACTGTATGTGGGGCACGAGGCCCGGGAACGGTTTGCTTGTGAAACGATTGCCGATCAAATACGTTCGCTGGTGGCTGGGAATGGCCTCCATGGGGCACACTTGGCGACGTTGGGACTCGACTCGGGATCGAATATTGCACTCGGGTACGCGTCTGTGCGCTGATGCTACGGCTCCTGCAAACAATAACAACACTTTTAAAACGCGTAAGCATATTAAAAAATAGACATTTGACATTTAATAATAAATACAACAACAAACTATAGCTAAATATGACGTGGGGGCCTTCAGGTGGGATTGTGGTCAAATGCTAGCTTAACAAATAAAAAAAAAAAAACACAGAAAGAAGAAGACATTGTACAACAACAGGATTGCTATTTGTATAAGTCTCCAATATCACCTTTTAGGTAATAGAAAAAACGCAAAAGACCACTCAAATCACTCAGACAAACTGGGAGAATTTTCTTCTAACATGTTTCTAATAACATTTATTTATACGTCTATCGAGATTAAAGTACAAAGCACAATGCACTCAATTTAAGACACTATAATAATGCAGACTAGCTTACATAGCATTTTCGTAATTATTTAAATTAAGACAGTTTTACACTCCATCCGTTGTAATTTATGTCAACTAAGCAATGATTATTATTTCACCTGACATAGTTGTTTGAACTGAAATATTATATTTAACCGTAATACATTATATTGTTACATATAAATGTTATGTAATAAACATTGCGTTCATTTTAATGTATGTTTAATAACACTGTGTTAAACAGCAGAAAGGCATATAACATATAGTTTTTTTTTTTTTTAATTTTAAGGTGGCAAACGAGCAAGCGGCCATCTGAATCCACTGAAATGAAAAGTGACCGCTGCCCATAAACATCCGCAATTGCAGATGCGTTGCCTGCCCTTAATTGACGACGGAGGAGAAGACGAACATAAAGGGGAAATTTCCTCTTCCTATGCGTCTCCTCCACCGTCAAATCCACTTTTCTTGCCCATCCTTTCCTCTTAAGAAAAGGGTGGAAAGGGAAAGGGACTAAAATTAGGCCATACTTATCAGACGAAACGCAGAATTGCTTCCACTTCACGGCTGTTTTCTGTATGGTCGTGTCATTACACCGGGCGAGCCGTCCCATTCGTGCGCAGATGTTAAAGCGGGCTCTACCACTATTAGTAGTAGTTAGTTTAAAATAGTAGTTTAAATTTACTATATGAAAAGGTAACTTTTTGATATGGTTTTAGGAGTTGAGGGTTGATAAGTATTCTATTCGTAGCCTAGACGTTTAATATACAGAAAGTTCTTGGTATTAATTACATACATCAGTTTTGAAAATAACTATGGAAATACCATTGCTTAATATATACAAAAGTCGTTAGTTGAACAAATTATTGGAAAAACCAGGATTTTTCGATGCAGGGAGATTGAACATATGTGTTTAAATTCACAAAGAATTTTTGATTGTAAAGTTTTGTGGCTACAATAGTTATGTTTGAAAAATCTTTTAATATCAATCAAAGTATAAGGAATCCGACAAAAATTATTTGAGTTCAATGCCTTTTAAAAAGCAAAGGTTTAATGTTAAGAAATTTTTATAAGAAAAATAAATTAAAAAAGGGAACATCTGAATATTATTTAGACTCAACAATTTTGCATTTTTTTTAATTTTCACTCGTTGACTGTAATGTACCAACACGAAGAACGTTACTTCCATTATGCCAAAAACCGCACAAATTTCCTCACCTTAAACTTGAGTCCTTTGCAACGCACTAAAACACTTTGTAAATCGTCCAGTGGGGGCTGGCGCGAGGACATTCAAGCCATATTGGCGAACTACCATATAAACGCGGCCGTGACTCGCCCGTCGCCGTCTTTAACGAACATCGCGTCAATCCACCATTTTGAAATTATACACGACAGGATGTCTTAATAAACGTAAGGCCAATTTGCGAACGCTTATTCTGATCGTGGACTTCCGATAATGGCGTATTTTCGAAAACTATGCAGTGAATAGTCGTCGAGAACGCACGGTCGTCGACGGTGGCTCGGACCTCTATCGCTAAATTGATGGTACGAAGACGGTCAAATGAATAAGAACGCAATATTGTCATTAATTCCCTGGCCAATGGCGAGAGAGGAGCGATGTGTGGACGTCGGGAATTGGGAGCACTTGGACGGCAGGGTCGCACGATCGCCGGGTCAAGACGCGCCCGTGGGGTACCGTCGCCAATTCGCAAGGTTCCGTACAAGATTTCTGCAACACGTGTTGAAAAGAAGTTATAGTAGAATCGAATAAAAATTTTTACTCACATAAAATGTTAATTTTTAAGAATTGTACAAAAATATAGTTTGTAGTATTCACAGAACTAGTTTAGTCTAAATATTATTAAAATTAAATACAAAAAATTCTAGAGACAGCCCTGTTTTTTGCTAATACTTGACAGTTGATGCGAACAATTTTTTACTTTAACGTGAGTATAGTCAAGGTTTCATGTAAACTTTCCGATGACTTTAACTCAAAAAAATAGTAAACGGAACTTTCCGAATATAAGAAAAAAAACGTGACTTGACAAGACAAGGGCCTCACGTACTCGTCAACCGAGGATCTTAATTGATACATATTGGCGACAATTAAAGCGCGGTACGCGAAACAACTTTATTGCGAATTTCAAGAACACTCAGAGTATAATAAATATGACCAATTGAAACGGAAGCGAAACATTGTCGCAGTAAAAAATACAAAATAAAATTCTGAATTGCGAACTGAAATAAGGAAGTAGGCACGTGGTTTAGTTATTAATAACTAGCTTTTGCTCACAACTTCGTCCACGTAAAAAGGGGTAAATATTTTGGATAAAAACCCTAATGTAGGAAAGAGACCATAAGTTGCTGCCAACATCAAGGAAGCAAGACAGTCAAGGTGTTTCATGTCGTGTCATTATGACATTTGCTATTGATAATTTGACAAATGTAAACAATAAAATAAAATTTTCACAATTTCATGCGGATGAAGCCGCACGGGAACAGCTAGTATCAAGATGAAATGTTATGGGACGCTCTTGGAGTTATCAAAATGGGTAGGAAATAAAGATCCTCGACTGTAAATAGCTATTAAGCTAACACGAGCCATCCTTCGATAGCATCACCACCCATCAGGTAGAAACATGGTCAAGCTCTAACTTATACATTAAAATATATATATAGTTACGTAGTACCTGTACTAGATAATTTATCTAGTAGTCTAGTGGTTCAATAAAGCCCCTACATGGAGCATTTGTACACTTGCGATGTCAATTATGTTTATCTCATTTCCTGCGACTGCGGCCATTGTCAACCTGAGCGCTATTGTTGTTTTGATTTATACTGTTCAATTTGCTATTGCAATTTAGTCTTGGTATCAAAGTATTGCCGCTTTAGCAGTAGAGGGACATTGGACATAACGTTTACAGCCTATTTAAAAATAGTTTTATGTTTCTATGTACGTACTTGGAGAGTTGCAAAAGCACTGCATTGATTTTGATCAAACGAAATGAATCGTGTTGGGAGATCTAAGCGCTTATCTTATAAATAACTTTAACATAAATAACTAGCTGTTCCCGTGCGGCTTCATCCGCATGAAATTATGATATTACCAAATGTCAAAATGATATGACATGACAAACCTTGGCAATCTCTTTCCCACGTTAAGGTTTTTGTCCAAAATATTTACCCCAAAGTTTATTGGCGTGAAAATATATAGCCTAAAGCGTGACGTAAGTGAAGGGCGTTTTATTAAAAAAAAGAATTATTCAAAAACATGCTGTAATTGCTGGCATCTTAGGCAACAAAAAAGTGTGTGTTTACGCTTTATTATAATAGTATAGATATAGATTATACATTATTATAATCTCTATCTTTTACGACTGGTATGTATGTATGAACGTTGACACATTCTTGTTATTTTTATTGTAAAGAAACATTTTCCTGTTCGTATAATAATTTCGACACTTGATTTTAATTATACAATGGGTATCTTTTGCTGCCCATTTGGCATTGTATTTCAAATTTTAGTGATATATAACAAACATCCTTCTATCCATCAAAAAATTCGCATTTACATCATTAAATTTTGTTTAATTAAATGGATGTTTTAGGAGTGACAGTTTAAAGTAACGGAGGATGGAAAAACGTACCGTTAAGAAAACGGTACGTGTTGAAATAGCGGCACATCACTAGATCATCGGAATACACGTTCCGACCCTATCACCATCATCATCACCAGCTTATTATAAGTCCCTACTGAGAGGCTCGAAACCTACTTTAACGGGTGACAAGGCCATAGTCAACCACTCTGATCAAGTGCGGGTTGGTTGACTTCACACATATCTTTGAATTTCTTCGCCGATTTGTGCAGGCATCACGATATTTTCCTTCATCGTACGAAAGTCGAGTAAATTATGTACATTTAATTTGAAAAAACCGAAAATCCCATTGGTACATGGCGGGATTAGAACTCAAGATCTGTAGATTACAAGTCAAGTGCTAAAGCCCTTGAGCCATCGACGCTCCATTATATTGTTGTCTAAATAAACAAATAAATTAATACATATCCTACTATAGTATACAGCAACGCCGTGTTTTGACCTTTACAGTTTACTTTTGTTTACGATAAATTTAATACTACATGCGTAATCGGCAGTTCCACAAATAGGATATTACGGATCGGAAAGTAAAACGAGATTACGTTTATTATGGCTTTTTACTGCCAAAAACGTCCATTCAATAATATATTGAAACTCCGTTAGAGGAAATACACGGTTAAATTTATTTCTATATATCTATTGCCCGAGACTTCGTCCATGCAACAATAAATACAATTAATATGCCCGTCTATGTCAGCTACCCTTAAAAAAGTTCGGTCGAAATCGGTCCAGCCATTTCAGAGATTACTCGAGGAACAAATGTGGCTTGCGGACAGACAGACAAAACATTTCTAAATGCGATTTTCGTTATTAGCACCGCAAATACATCATCATCCCGAAATCTGGAATTTTTCTTTTGACATTACATTAACTCATTAACAGACACTCTAATTATATTATATGTATAGATTTTACAATTTTCGAATATTGTATAAGATAGTAAATGTAATTATCATCGATTCGTCGTCGAAGGATTAAATTACTTATAAATAATTTATGTAATTGTTTTATTTACATAAAGATCTTATGTAAATAAAACAGTAATGTGAAAAAATGTAAGTAAATGTAAACAGATAAATTATTATTAGAAGAATATTTACTGTTTACAAAACTAATACCTTAGGTCTGTACGTTTACATTTTAATTTGACCATTTTTAATAAATAAGAGCTACAGAAACAAATATTCAGATCAAATCAATGTTTTAACATCCGGGCATTAGTACTTAATTTATTACATTCTTACATCTACAAATATGGTAGTTTACACACTCCTTTTTCGTCTTATAATTAACAAAATTCTTGAAAAACCTTTTATCGCTGTCAAGAATTAAGTTACATACTACGGAGATTTAAGAACATTTTATTGTATGTTCAAATTTTTGAAATAAAATATATATAGCTCATATCACTCAGGGATAATGTAGCAACCTGATAGTGAAATAATTTTTTAAATCGATCTAATAGTTTTCGACCTTGTTCTTCACAAACATAAGGTTAAAAATACCTTAAGTACCCTTGTTATGCTTACCATTAATGGTCTTGCAACACCAAAAATATCCTTCAGGTCAGTCCAGAATCTTAAGAGCTTGGAAGACAATCTTCATTAGCAACATAGACGTGGCAATGTCAGTATTTTCCATTAATATGAACGCTGACGTACTCAGTCGGTGCTATCTGGTTCTATCTCAACCGCGCTGGACGTTAAACGATGCCTCGTACGGTCTGCAAAGAAAGATATTCAACATTTTAGAATTTACTACTAGCTTGAAATATTGCTAGTTATAGCAGATTAATGATTTTTTTTTGTTCCTAGTACAATGTAACTAATATTCGTCAAGACAATACTAGTCTAATTACATATGTTGTAGGGTAATTATTAAGAACTAGCTTTCGCTCGCGACTCCATTCGCGTGGGTGGAATTTAAAAAAAAAGTAAATAGCCTATGTGTTCTTCCAGACTATCTTCTACGTCTATACCAAATTTCATCGATATCCGTTCAGCCGTTTAGGGTACAAACTCTAACATCCATCCATCTAAACTTTCGCATTTATAATATTAGTAAAAGTAAAAATATACACATGTCAATAGACAGGACATTACGAAACTGTAGTCTCAAAAAACAATCGGTTGTCTAATTTGAAATTAACAGGAACCAGTACCACATGATCTAAATATTTATACTAGTGGTCGTGATGTCCTGTCTATAATATATATTTGAACGTCTATACTGAAGACAAGCTGTTGCCCGCGAATTCGTCCACGCAATATTAAAATAAAGACAGTTGCCTTTAATATGCCCTTCTGTCACCTACCCTTCAGTGAAAGTCCGGTCGAAATTGGCCAAACGCGGTTAGCGGACAGACAGATAGACAAAAAAATGCGACTTTCGTTATCAACAACGCAAATACATCTTTACGAAATCTGTTTTTTTTTTATATTACAGACACTCCAATTTTATTCCATGTACATCAAAATCACTAATGCAATATGACACTATATTATAGGTCTATAATAGTAAACAAAGGTTTATTTGCTCTACAGGTATTAATATCACGTGGCTTGCGGTCACTGTATCTAGTTACGTAGCACGTGCTTGGTAATTATATCAGTACTCGAAACCGATTGAAGTAATGACATTTGACTTGGCACGTGGGGAATAAGATTATTCTTCCGCTAGGCGTGCCAACTCAAGTTTTAATTGAAATAAGATACATGAAATAGACGTAACTGAAATTCAGCCAGTATTTGCAAAACATTTTCAAGAGGAATTAAACATGTCACTTTATAGTTTGAAATTTCAAAATTCGTACGTCACATTTCAATATCAATTATAGTGATGTGACGTCATCACATAGAAAGTGACGTCACCAACTTTTATAGCATCACTGTGGAAGATCCATTTTAATAGAAAAGCACACGTATTACTAAACCTAGTTTAGTTTTTAATTTCTAAAATATCTCAATATTATGTAAACCCTCACCTTTAGGCTTCAAACAGACATAAAACGTGGAAAGTAAATTATAACTAATCTTACGGGAAAATCTAAAAGCACGTGAAAGGAAGACAGTCGTTTCGTAGTTAACGGATAAAAGCTATTTAAACTGTGCCAAAGGATATAGGATCTTAAAATAATGACAATAGAGTTGGTAATATGCTACGAGGACTGAGTAGAGATGAAGACAGTTTTAAGTACTTTGATATACGGCCGTTTTATTCAGTTCGATCTGGAATTCTCTAGCCTCCAAATTATGAGTCTTAGAAAAAAATTTAGAAAAACCTTTAATTAATGCAAAAAAAGGCATAAATATCTATTAGGATAACAAAAAATAATTTCACGTACGTATGTGATTTTTTAATTTGTCGGTTAAACTCTTGGCAGAATAAGGAAATAACTGATTTATTGAATGAAATAAAAAAAACCTAAAATAAATTAACCGTATTTAAGGTAAAAGTAATAATCAGTACTGGTTGCATTTAGTGTTATTTATAAAAAATAGATGAATTAATTAAGACTTACCAAAAAGCGTCAACGAACCAAAAGACAATCATTTTGAAAAATCTAATTATGTAAATTAAAAAATCAAAACTATTTAAAGAAACTTTTGAGTGCGTACTGATGCGTCGGATTCCGTTGGGAGTCTGGATAGCTGTATGTGACTAAATTGTCCCAATGAGGGGGAGCACAATTGGTGCAATACAATGACCGCTAACAACACTGTATTACAGATTTCGGATAAGGCCAGTTTTTTTTCTACCACTAGCTACTAATCAAAATGTATTATGTCAAAAATTTAATTGAAAAAAAATTTACAACCATAGATTTTTTTGATCAAAAACATTTTATGTTAAAAGCCATAACAAAGTCGAGTCACAAATTGGAGGTTATCATGAAAACTAGCAGCAAAGCATATGCAACGTCATCGACAAAGTACGAGATTTGTCGGCGTAGTTTATGTTCGATCTCGTAAATTCTCATCCTAGCCCCTGATTTTAAAACGCATAGAGTATAAATATGTAAGACTAGTTTTCGCCCGCGATTCCGTTCGCACGGAACTAAAAAAAAACAAATGCAAGTAGCCTATGTGTTCTTCCAGACTATCCTCTACATTTATAGTAAATTTTATCAAAATCTGTTCAGCCGTTTAGGCTGCAAACTCTAACAAACATCCATCCATCTAAACTTTCGCATTTATAATATAAGTATGAAGTATGATGGGACGCAAAGAATTGAAATTACGTAAATGTTAAAGAATATAGACTTGAATAGACCTAATGAAGGGTGACGATTGAGATGGTTGATAAGAACGCGTGGAAGAAAACGTGATGAGTTTTATTACGCGCCAACTTGTTCTGTTGTAACGAGATTGTTTTACTGGATACTTGATACATAAAACAACACACTGTAAATCAACTTCAAATATCTTCTTATTTGTATTAAATCTTACATCTTAAATACTAAGTAATTCAACCTTAGAAACTTTCGGCTGAATTATTACGTAATAATTTCTCTGCTAATTTATCACCGCAACTAAATTCGCGTGAATAAAAAAAAACGAAAGTGGGTAGCCTATGTATTCTTCCAGACTATCCTCTACATCTATGCTAAATTTCATCGAAATCCGTTCAGAAGTATTGGCTACAAAATCTAACAAACATCCATCCATCTAATCTTTCGCATTTATAATATTAAGAAGTAAGATTATTCATTGATTTTTCGTATGTCCCAAATTAAACCTGTTTTCACTTAACTTTAAGTTTTTATGGAAAATTTTAATCTTTGCCAATGTAAAGTAATCATCTCATTCATTTTTTTTATTCTTTAATTGGCCGAGAATTATAAGTACTTATCCGTCTATTAACGTTCTGTGTCGTAAGTAGGCACTACAGTGACCATACTGTACAAAAAAAGGTTTAATCTTTTTTTGTATAGATGTTAGCTGTTCGCGTGCGGCTTCATCCGCATAAAATTATAAATTTATTGTTTACATTTATGAAAATCTCAAATGCAAACGTCAAAATACCAATTACCTTACTATGGCAATCTTGCTTCCTTGATGTTGGCAGCAACTTACGGTCTCTTTCCCACATTAGGGTTTTTATCCAAAATATTTACCCCCTAAGTTTAATGGCGTGAAAATATATAGCCTAGAGCGTGACGTAAGCGTAGGGCTTTTTATTTAAAAAAGAATCATTCAAAAATATGCTGTAAATGCTGACATCTTAGGCAACAAAGAAGTGTGTGTTTACGCTTCATTATAATACTACAGATTTTAATTTTGATTTACCTGATTTTAAATTACCACCGTCGTTTAACTCAGCACAGAAAGATGGTAGTCGAGAAGGTCTTAGACAACACGGCGGTATTGAATCAGCGAAGCCTTATCTGTAACGTATATAATTGTTTACGTGAAACATTAGATAAGTTACAGAATTACGTACTTAGTAATAATGAAATATTTTTCTAAACGAGACAATTAATAAATAAAAATTAAAACTGACGAGAAATAAACTCAACTGCCGATTTATGTCAAAAAAATTCCCAAATAAAGGTAACACTGTGTGTTATGCTAACCGTGGGTTTCCACCGGTATGCACAAAATATCATCCCTCTCATTCTGTTTGTTAAAAATCGAGACAACATTTTGATACAAGTGTTTCGGCAATGGAATTTCAGGGTTACATTTACCTAGCAATAGATAATATCTATTGTTGACTATTTGACTGATAAAACTACGACCTTGCAACTGTTATCATAATAATATGAAAATATTCGGTTCCTATCAATTACATGTTATAAACAACTAGTCGGATATCTTGATAAAGACACCTTGGTAGTGAAACAACTTAATTATTTCGTCAAACGTCAGTAGCAATGACATACTCAGAGTCGTTTATTGATTACTAAGAGACTCTATCAAGCGAAGATTTATTACGAGGAATATTAACTAAGCGATAAGCGACAATTTACTAATCTTACTAATATTATAAATGCAAAAGTTTGAATGGATGGATGTTAGAGTTTTTAGCCTAAACGGCTAAATGAATCTCGATGAAATTTGACATAGATGCAAAGGACTGTCTGAAAGAAAACATAGGCTACTTATTTTGATTATTATAGGTCCACACTGACTGATTCGCGGGCGAAAACTAGTTATTAGATCCAAAATGAATGTAGAAATATGATAAAGGATGTCCAGTCCCCGTCCAATAATCTAATAACTATCGAGTCCATTGCGTCGCTAATTCCCAGACCTATTTAATAGCTCCATGATCCAATCAAGTTTATCAAGGCATCGTCACCACATTGGTATAGTTACATAGACTATAATATTGATTTTTTTACTACAAATGTTGATGAAAACTTAAAAACATCAGGTTGTGGAACGACAGCCTCGCAAAAGTTAAAGTGGTTGGGCCTGGTTAGGGTTGCAGGAGCGTAATGGTTGAAGGTGGCAGAGTATCTAATTTTGTGGTGATCAATGGAGGAAGCCAACATCCAGACGACTAGAGAGAATTATTACCAAGTCAAGGGTTTAAAATTTTTATACCGTTATACCCACGAGACATCCCCATAAACAGAGCAAAGACAAGAAATAGAATAAAACAGACTGAAATTATGATACCAACTTTTTTTCTGTGAACCCTTAATTCAACGAAGTTTTTTGTAGCAAAAAACCAGATTATTTTAGTAGTCATATTTTTAGATATGAAATAAACTGGTTCAGTTTATTTGTTAAATGAGTTGTTAATTACACTGGATACTATCAAATTACGATTTAAATCATGGACTTAGTGACACAATTACTACTATTGTAATTAGTAACAATTTATTTAAGGCACAGCCCACTCAAAAGCTTGACAACTTCAAGTCACAACATATATTAGTACGTCTAGAGAACTAAATCAAGGGATTTTTATTTAATTGTATTATTTCTTTAAGATAAATCGTCTGTATGATGTACGGAAGATTGAACAGTTTGCGTTTTTCCGTCTAATGACACAATGTGACATGTGTATTATGTCTCACTGAACAAACATTTACATAGAAGTGACATGCACACGTGTAAACCATAATAATAATAAAATTTAATTATATTGCTTTACAAAAGTATTCGATACAACCATAGTATGTGTCCACTAAGAGGATAAGCAGAGAAAACTAACAATTTGGTTGATTTAGATATATCATTGTCGTCAGTGTGTAAAAATGTGTAAAAAAAACAATAAAACAAACACATTTCTGCCGAAACACACTATAAAAACAAAAAAATACGTATTTGTTTTATTAAAAGTACTGTTATTGTATAATTATTTCGTCAGTGGAAACCTACGTTAAACGAATCAATGACGATACATCTAAGCATGGCATGTTACATTATATAGTACTTTATTATATAAGCATTGTCGTCAATCAAGAGAACTTTGTGTCATTTCGCCATGACATACAAATACTATGTTATTATATTTAACGACAAAGAAAAGGCCATCTATATTGTACAACTGAGGGCTTATCACGAATATTGTGAGAAAGTTTTAGTAACGATCGAAGTTTTTATAACATTTGTGCATCGACTCTACCTGGCGTAACTAACGCCTAATAAATCTCATTCACATTTTATTACGTTACGAATCATTATCATTATCACCAGCTCACTATACCTCCCCCCTAAACGACTCGGAGCCTACCCTGAGTAAGGGATGACTAGGCCATACAACAACGCTGGACAAGTGTGGTTGGTTGACTTCACACATATCTTTAAATTTGTTTGCCATTTTGTCAAGTTTGTATCACGATGTTTTTGAAAATCACATTGGTACATGGCGGGATTCGAACCCAAGCACTGTACATTACAAGCCCTTAAAATCCCTAAGCCACCGACGTTTCGAATGCGTTACGAATACGATCTCGCATCTGTCACACAAATATTCGTGATGACCCCTCTGATTATATAAAAAGTTTGTAACAGGGTTTCTACTGACATATTTCTATCATCACATATTGACGTCTCTTTCTTTTTCAATGGGAATGTAAAGGATGTGTACATACGGTTGAAACCCACAGAAAGGCAAACATTAATAACCCTAGTAAGTTTATATCACATTAGATAGGATTAATTACCAGCATCATTATTTAATAGTGCTAAAACAACTGACCTTATCAAGAAACAGATAAACCTATATCATTAGTAAACTATAGCATAAAGTAAATAAGACAAATGTATGTTATATCTGTCGCATAACACATGCAATATTTATATACTAGTTAACAATACATACTCGTTTGTTTTTGTAATATACGAAACAAGGAAACCAGACCGGCTTGCATTTATTTTAATTCTTTTGTAAATAAAATCAAGTATGTCTTTGAAGAGATATCATATATTTTTTTGTATTTAAAACAATCTTAAACCCAACAACGGAACACTTAAATGGTTTATTTTGTACGAAAATTTAATGTAAGGATAAATATTAAATCATTAAAAACAATAAAGTAAATTCCTTTTTAGGATATGTTTATTTATTTTGTATTGGAATCAGAAGGAGGCAAAAAAAGATGTAGTCAATTTTTATAAAAGTTTTTATTAAAATAATTTGATTCTCTTTAAGCACTTAGTTTCATAAACTTAAATAAAATATTATTGTTAATCATGTCAAAGTTATATTAAGAAATATCTAACAAAATGGACAAACAAAAAAAAATTGTAGGGTCATCATGAGTGTTACCACCAGATGGTCTAGGCTAGATCTAGGAGGGCTACAATTAACAGTATTTGATTCTCTAAAGGAAAGATAGTTACTCCCACCCCTGGCTGTGCCTATGATGTCCATAATTATTAATTTATTATACAAGAGTAAGCAATAAAAGCAAGGAATAAACAAATTCAATAAGCTCAATTGGCTTTTCTAATTTTTTTGTTGTATCTGAAGGGACAAAATCTTCAAAAGAATCTTCCATTGAGAGGAATTAACAAACAATTGGCAGATACAATATAAGTTACAAAATATTATATTTTTACTTTGTATATAAAAAGCTAAGTTTTGCAGATAGAAAATTGTATGTAAGTATATTTAGCTATTTTATTCAACAACATTTCAATGCATTATAACTCTTATAAACAATCTATATATCAATATAGTCTGAGTCACATATCATAAAAATCCAGTAAAAACCTCAAAGTGATGATTCAAAGATGACTTTGTCTGCAATTTAGTTTTTGATTTCAAAGCACCGAAATATACATTATCTAAGCAAAAGAATATTCTCTTCGCTCTTGCATGTACTAACGCCATAGAACACATAAAACACGGCTCCCTTATTAAATATACATAATACCCAGTACATAAGTAAGGACTATCATTTGAATTCTTTTTAGATTCATCACTTGTACTATCCCTTTTACCTATATATTCTCTTGAACCAAATTTCACACTGGGAAACTTCATTTTTAAATATGTTAATAATTCATTACTAACACTATGTGTATCACTAGATTTGTACTCCATTTCAAACCAAACACCACCATTTTGAGTTTTCGCGACATTGTCTATGGCTAACATTGCAGCATGTTTTATAGGATTATTGTCACGATTATCAAAAGCAACAGCAACCACAGACTGTATAGTAGGATCAACTACTACCGCTCCATTTATGTATCTGTGGACATCCTCTATATCAATTGTGATATTAGTGTGCTGTATATACCATCTGGATACTTCAAAGGCCATCTTCATATATGTCCTATGATAATTAAGTTCCACTGAACTAAAGAAATCTCCACTCATAAGTTTCTCTGAGTATGCATTAGGATGAAAGTTGCATGACCATATTTTGTTGTACTCTTTAAATTGCTTTTGTATCTTAGGTGCTGTGAGCGGAACATCCATCTCTTTGAAGTATTGGAATGAATCTTTGAGTTCCATTACTGTGCTTTCAATAAATTGTTGTATAGATGAGACACCGATGATATAACTTGCTGGGCACAAGATTACCTGCTTTTTTCTAACTCTTTTCAGATGTTGCAACTGTTTCAATGGGACTTTTTCATTCAAAGTTATAACAGTTTTTGACAAATCCTTAGGATCTTTGGTGATGCCAACAAACACTTTAACTAATTGTAATGTTTCACCAAATTCTTCACCTAAGACTGGTTCTAAATTTTTCTTAGAATTATCGATATCCTCTATACATTTGTCAATTGCTTTCATCATAAAATCATTGTCTTCTAAAATCATTTTAATTTTTTTCATAGGTGGCTCTATTCCAACCGACATGCTCATATCGTAACTTCTTCAAATCCAAGGATGTCCTGATTTTCACAACTGAAAAGAGAACAATAGCACTTTTTCATCACCAACTGCATTTCAATCACTTTTAAACATAAAGCACAAATTACACTTTCATTTATTTTCCGAATACGAGAAACGAGATGAACGACATGAATAATGTTATAAAAAATGCAATACCTTTAAATAGTTGCAAAATAAAATCACAGTTAATTATGAGACCATCAACAACTGTCCGGCTGTTTATATACTGATAACAAATCATTTTGAGCTCTGCTTATGCACATAACCTCAAGGTACACTACTGAGGGGCAAGTTCATGGAATTTTATGTAATCGAAAACACATTTATTATTACTAGCTCTATTTACTGATAAGTTAAATACACAACAACTGTACATTAAAATTTCCAACACTACTGAAGCACACAATATAAAAATATCTTATGCCCACCACAAAAACAAGTGCCTCAAGAAGTGTTTAATTGCATACCTAATTCGTTACAACGATAAAATAAGCATAAAAATAAGTAATTTGCGACAAATTTACCTCGCTTCGGTTTCTTCAAATCACAATACAAAGCACGACGCAACAATTTCTTTAATAATAGTCACACATTAATTAACATCAAGTGGTTTAACCACCTTGATATAATTTATCAATACGAAACCGATAAAAGAATTTAATTTGCCACACATGTAAAACGCCAAAGGACAGCAGCCGCCAGCCACCATTAGACAGTGACAGTGCCGTGTTTCCGATTGCAAAACCACACAGACAACTTTAATTAAATATTGGGTTATTTCTGCTTCTTTGATTTATTAACCAGTAGTAGACAAACCACAGATAAAACAAATAAATGTTTGTAAAATGTCGTAATAGAGAACAGGCAAACGCACGTTCCGTTTTACGTATTGTTGATGACATATCTACAATACTGGTGACACTTGCGGTCAAAAAATAAAAAAAACTGTAGATGAAGCAAATTAAATTGATATTAATTAACTGATTGTACTTATTAATTTAGTTATTTTCGTTTGTAATTGTGATTATATGTAAAGTAATATAAAATTGCCGTAACTCTTGTATTAAAATACATTGTTGTCTCGGTTTAAGCTAAGACAACGAAAGGGATGACAGAATGTTTTGAGACTAGTGTTGCGACCGATAGTAATATGTTAAGCAGTTCTAGTAAATAAATAATACATTTTAGTTACATCGGTTTATTTATTCATGAGAAAATTACACATACAATAACTTGAACGACATTGAAACTTCCTTTTTTAAATCATAAGTCATAAGGAACATGCGCATTATTATGTACACATTTTATTTTCTGTTTTCTGATATCTGGGAGAACCATGATTGGCACGTGTCGGAAGCAATTTCGCAGAGCGCAGACATGGCTCTTTCAGTTGCATCATTATCTGAAATAATAAACAATACCTTTAAAGTTTGTAAAAACTCTTAATTAAATTACAATACAATAATTATCATAGTTTAATCGTTACGGAACCAATCGCGTACTGTAGACTTATCTCCTTATATTTAAACCGAAGGACCCGCTTAATGATAACTGTTACTCGAAATGTAGTAGATAGTTGTTTGTTTTATTTATTAACGATACTACAAACGGTTCGTTGTTAACAAACCTGTGTTTCCTCGTTTTCCAAAGATGGATCCATTGAAAGGTGCCTTTCTGTAAGTGCCCTCAGTTGGAGCGACCAGACAAATGATGAACGCAATGAGACAGAAAGCAAAAACTGCACGCATCTTGAATTCTGAAAAAATAAAATGAATTTAAACTCGAGTCTTTATTATAAATCGGTATAGATAGGGCGTGAGGTGAATCATTTGAAATTGAGTACCTAGAAATTTGATGGTAACACTGGAAGATGTGAGACAAATGTGATAGCTTCGTAGTCCAGCCCCTAGCTTTTATAGTAAATCGTGAGTTGCGTGAGCACCATTTTAATAAAATTAGTACCTAGTTCTATGATTGAGTTACATACAATAATGGGAGAAAATACTTTTACGCAGTATCAAATTCGTATCTAGTCCCACTGCGCCGATACGAACGTTGATACGATATTTTAAATGCGATAAACATAAATGATATTCTTCTTCGTAAACATTTGTTGTATTTCCAATCAAAATAAAGTTTTCGTCTATTCTGTATGATCTTATCTAGGTGCATTAAAACTCCCAAAACATAATCTTATCTACACAAACTGCTCTTAAGAAGGGATAATTCAAATATTCTCTAACCATGGTTTCCAACTAAGTTTTAATCCCCTAAGAGTGCGGCTACTTAGATTGCCAATATGTGGTCAATATTCAATAATCCGTTAATTGAATTTACTCTTGGGATTTGCTTGGGATAAGAAGCACGGACAATGTAGTATAAAACGGGATTGAGATAGCTTTCCAGCATCAGTCAAGCTCCAGCATCCACAGTGTTGTCAGCTAAAACGTTTCAAGTTACCGAAAACAATAGTTAAAAGTAAATTTTATTTCACAATTTAAGTATTTGTCTTTAATACAACTTAAAATTTAATGATGATTAAACTGAAAATGTGTTTTCTAGATGGCTGGACATGCGATGAAATTCACTGTTTGGTTGGTTTGCATGGTGGTGGTTTTATTTACTGTGATTGAAGTGAGTCAGGCAAACTACAAAAACGCGCCTATGAATGGAATCATGTTTGGTAAAAGGGTACCTTCTGGTAAGACGATATTGTTTAATCGTTAAACCTGGAATGTAATATTTTGATTTACATTAACTGAGACCTCTAGGTTCAATTTAGAAGAAATGATGTATTAATTATTTGTACGAAGTAACATTTTGCAGAAAATTCCATGAATTTGATGTTTTAATTTTTTTCCAGAATACGAAATCCGGAGCAAGACATTTACGGCGTTATGTGAAATTGCAACAGAAGCATGCCAAGCGTGGTTTCCTTCGCAAGAAAATAAATAAAAGCTGAAAAATCGATTTACAATTAAATAGCATACAACGGTTTTTGGAGAAAATGTTTAACTCGTACACATATTATGATAAAATTGTTTCTATAATGGATTCATAGAAAAAAAAAACTTTATTTAACCTACAATTATGTACTGTAGGCCTATTTTAGTGCTTAAATAAAATTATCTACCTAATAAGTTGTTTTTTTTTGTTCCTTTTATAAAACAATATTCTATAGGATAAATCTTGATCTCCAATTTTTCTTCGGTTTTATATGGCAACCTTTGAACACTAACTTGTATTTAAAACTGTACAGTTAAAAATGTAGATGATTTAAATACATACTAAGCTGTGAATTAAACAAAATAAGTTTAACAAGATAATCAAAAGAGATTACAAAAATAATATTAAAGTTACGTGACACGGGATTATTGAACGGATGGCCCTGATTCACCACCACTTGACATATGTCAATAACAATGCAGTGACGTTTCGCAATTCGTATTGGAAAAACTTTTATAGTGATTTCGTATCTACCTTATTTCTAAAATGAATTTTCAAAGGTCTGAACCCGTGGTGAAATAATGTAAATGTGATAATTTGTTAATTTATTAAGTTGGTGTATAGTGAATCTGAAAAAATGACGACAAAAGAATTATACACCAAGGTAAATCTATGATACTGTGTTTTGATTGTATTTTGTTTCATTTTACGTTTGGAATTAAGCACATTTTTAAGTTTAGAACCTCATTAAATTATTTGGTATTGTTTGTTTATATATTTTGTTTTAAGTCCTTGGGTAATTTCTTTACAAAAAAATTGTTATTGATTACATCAGATGGAGTGCATTACAATTTTCATTGGTTTTATACTTTGATTACAGTGTTTCAATTTCTTTTTATTATTGCTAATTAAAGTATTAAAATGACTATTCATTAACTTGGCTACATAATGTCTACAATAAATGTACAACTTTTCTGTGCAAATGCAAATATATTTATTAGTATGATAGTTTTAATTGCTTTTTAAATTGGGTTTTACATTAGTAATACATTCTTTTATCAACTTCGTTATTTAACAAAAATAAGCTTTTCAAATCTACAATATTTGATACTCTAAGTAAATGAATATATGTTATTTAAATAAAAAAAAAAAACATTTAATTTGAAAATGCCAAAGTTACATAAGGTTTTGAAATTACAAATGCTGTTAACTCCATTACCTAATTCTGAAATGTAATGTGTTGATATTTATTCATATTAGATTCTTGTTTTGTAAATATTAGTAACACCTTTGGTTTATATTATAATTTTATGCAAATAAAACCAGTTCCCATGAATATTGAGTGTAGTAATTTTATAGATAACCAAGGCTTGTTCTTAAGATTCTTTTGAATGTAATTTGGTAGCTAATGGCATATATATATATTTATTTTAACTTCTAATGTACAAAAAATCTTATTTATAGCTAGTCAGACTATTGTTATTGTAAATATCAAGAATTATCAAACATATGTGTCATGAAGTTTATGATACTTTGCCCTTTATATTTATGCCTACCTACATTAATGTAAATACCATAGATCTGTCACAATATTTTAAAAATGTAGACCAAAAATTTTTGATACTGGTTGTAATTGAAACTAAATTTTGATGGATCACTAGTATCCTCCTTTTATACCATATATTTACTACAGAACTAACCAATAGCAGCCTCACAGGGCTAGGGATTTATATGAATCTTGTATAATTTATAAATTTTAGTTTTATAGTGTAGCTTTCTAGAAACACTCATGACTAATTCTAATAGGGTGGTCAGAGATGATAGAGTATAATGGTAAACTGAATAATAGAAACAGTTGTTTATTTAAATGCAATTCATTCATGTGTTTATCTATGGATCTAACATGAATGAACTATTTGATTGATGTGATGAGTCATTTTTTTATGAATTACTAGTTGTTGCTCGCGAATTTTGTCTTGTGAAATTAAAAAATATAGCCTATGTTACTCATTGATAACATAGCTTTTTAATGGTGAAAGAATTTTTGAAATCCGCCCAGTAGTTTTTGAGTTATTTCACTACATACAAAAATACAAATCTTTCCTCTTTATAATATTAAGTATAGATTATAATTAACACTTTACAGTTTCAAAGTGAAAATTAGACATTTTATGTTAAAGATTATTACAAAGATATATGTGGATGGAAACGCTAAGTAGACCAATTTTTATTGTGAGTGGCGCTATGCCTCTCCTTCCTCTCGTTTCCCTAAACATTTTTAGGATCAGGGACCTAGAGATTGGGTGTTCCTTTATTTCTTTATTTATATGATAAAACTTAAATTTACATTAAAAATTAAACCAAATATATATCTAAAATCACAGTATATATCACATTTTTCTATAGGAGTAGATTAATTTGTCTGCTTAGTTAATAATTAATTGTTAGTTATTACTTTATTAGTTTAAAACATAAGAAGTGTCTTACATAGACTTAATTTTTTCTAGGATGCCAGGGTTTGGGTGGAGCATCCCGTCAAAGTATGGGAAGGAGCCACCGTAACTTCAGACTATCGTTCTGGAGTGCTTATTGTGAAGATCGATCAGACTGGAGAAATAAGACAGATTAAGGTGAGACGTAGACATTGTCAATAGAAGAAAATTGTTTAATAATTTTAACACATTCTCTGCTGCCTACTGACCTATTAAAATATGAATTAAAATAACACTTAATGTGTTAAGTAACCAAAAATATAACTATAACTATGTTGAACATGATTTTATACTTTTCTTAGACTTTAATAAATCTTGAAAAATTCTATTAGCAAATATGGTTTTAAAAAGGTTTTCTTAGCAGTTGTTTATTTGATATTTTTTCTGCAGATTAAAGATGAAAATCAAATGCCACCTTTACGCAACCCTTCACTTTTGATTGGAGAAAATGACCTCACATCCCTGTCATATTTACACGAACCAGCTGTACTGCACAATCTTAAAGTCAGGTAAGTAATAAGCAATTAGACCTATGGTACAAATGCATATTACAAATTGTTTCTACTGGTGAAACACATGTTCAAACCCTAACGCTATAAATTCTCAAAGAATAAAAAAAATTGTACAGTCTCGCAAATCTGCGGTGTCCTACTTACAGAAAATATCCCTTGTCCCCTTAAAACGAGAATAACATCCCCTAAAACAAATAACCAATTATGTAGCAGTAAAATTGCGACGGAATAATAAGAGTAAATTAGTCGTGTACCACTGACCGACTTTTTTCGTATTAGTAAAACGTTCAAACTATAGTAGATTTTTAAATAGGACACTGTGTGATTCCCCGATTGTACACGATAGAAATGGTTCTTTATTTTTTTTTAGACGTAGGATCCATTTTTGGATTAGGGTTGTCACTTTTTACTTTAGCGATACAGATTCGATACTAAAAAAGTTTTATAATTTTTCATGGAATGGGTATATCCAACTTATGGTACATATGTAATTAAAGTGATTTTTCATAACGTAACCGCAGTCACTTGTCGTCGCCTTTACTAATCCCATATAATGCGACGCCAATGAACATCGACTGATGAAGGTTTTGTTATTTATGTACGTTTCTTTTAATGGTATCGATTGTGTAAAGAATAAGACAAGGAAAGTGTAGTTGTTTTATGTAAAAACTTTTATTGCTTCTTTCATTAATTTGTAAGTTTCTTGAATAACGAGTATCTATGTAATTGGTAACGCCAAAATTACTTTAATGGAAATTAAAAACAGCTCAACTCAAGCTTTTATTCTCCGGTGACGGCA